ACACACACACACACACACACACACACACACACACACACACACACACAGACACGCTGCTGCTGCTGCTGCTGCTGCCGCCGCCCTTTTCCCTCAGTCCTACTTCCCTAAGAAAAGGTCTGGTTTCACATTTATTTTTGTCCATGTCTAGATTATGCATAAGGTTTTGTCAGCAAGATACTGAAAAAAAAAAAAAGTGAAAACCATTAAAGTAGGCCAAAGAACTCATTTTGTGGCTCAGAAAAACAGGACAGGGAAGAGGACTGATTTGCCAAATTCACATCTTGAATGAATAATAAAACCAATTGCATTTTAGATCCAGGTCTTCTGATACTTGGGCTCCAACAAAACCTAGGTTTTGAGCTTTACGGTTAGATGCTGTCCTCTGTGCGAAACAACCATCAATCTACACAAGAAGAAGTTTTAAAAATATGCGTTTATAGTATCTGTTTATTTAACAAAAAGATGTCTGATGTTGTTGTCTTTCTTACAAGTGACACACTAAAATTGTGAACCGAAGGGTGAAGACTTACTTGAAATGTTATGCTAATTAGTCATCTTTTCACTTAAAATAGCACTAGATTTGATTTATCCAGAATACTGTGTCATTAAGTTCATACATAAAGTTGTGTTAGGACTTAAATTTTGAAAAAAAAAAACCCCTCCGAGATATTGATGGTAATATTGCATAGATTAAAAAGAGGTGGACTTGTTTAAAGTGTCAATAATGAGTATCTGCTGATTATTTTACTCCTATTTCACTTTGTCTCTGTTGATTTTCCTACAATACTTTATTATTAGTAGTAGTAGTATTTACAATTTATTCACTTTGAATCCTTGCTGTAGCCTCCTCCCTTATTTCCTCCCTGTCCCACCCTCCCTCCCCCTTCCCTATCTTCCTCCCCTTAGTCCACTGACAGAGAAGGTCCTCCTCCCCTATTATCTGACCCTAGCCTATCAGGTCTCATCAGAACTGCCTGAATCCTTTTCTTCTATGGGCTGGCAAGGTTGCTCAGCCAAGGGGAGGTGATCAAAGAGCAGGCAAAGGAATTCATGTCAGAGACAGCACCTGCTCTCCTTACTGGAGAACCCATATGGAGACTGAGCTGCCCATGGGTTATATCTGAGCAAGTGTCTAGGTATTCTCCATGCATGGTCCTTGGTATACACTCACTTATAAGCAGATGTTAGTCATATACTATATGATAAGCATACTAAAATCTATAGATCTAAAGAAGCTAAACAACAAGGAGGGTCCTAGAGAAGATTATAATTCTCATTCAGAGGACAAATAGAATAGACACTGAAAGCAGTTGAAGTGAAGGAACAGGTTGGGAGCCTACCACAGATGTCCTCTGAAAGACTCCACCCAGCAGGAGATTGAAGCAAATACAGAGACTCACAGTCAAGCTTTGGGCAGAGTGTAGGGAGTCTAATGGAAAAAGGGGAAGATAGAAAATCAGGAGGAGACAGGAGTTCCAAAAGGCGACCAACCAAGACAAAAACTCTGGGCCCAGGGGGCATGCGAAGACTGATGCATCCTACAATACTTTTGATGATTCCTTACAGATTTGCAGAATAGTCCATTTGAGAATCATAAAACTAAAGACATATCTTAATAAGGAAACTTTGTAGAGTATATAAAACTGTAGAGCTAATTTCACATATTAGTTTCCTCTCCCCATTGTGTTTGAACAAAACTGTTATCCTATTTCTCACAGAAAGGCACATTTATATTAGACTCCAGGCTGTTAAGTTGGTATTTTAAAGCATGGGTACCTTGTGCTAACTCAGAATCTAAATCCAAAAGCAAGCCAAGAAAATTCTTCCCTCCCTCCCTCCTTCCTTTTTTCCTTTCTTCCTTCCTTTCTTCCCCACCTCTTCCTCTCTCTTTCTCTCTCTCTCTCTCTCTCTGTCAATTTTTTGAGACAAGGTTTTTTGTTTTGTTTTGTTTTTTGTGTTGTTTTTGTTTTTTTCTTTGTAGTTCTGGCTGTCCTGGAACTCATTTTGTAGAAGAGGCTGGGCTTGAACTCACAAGAGATCCATCTGCCTCTGCCTCCTGAGTGCTAGGATTAGCTGCGTCACCACACCCAGATCAAAATTTTTTGATGGACTGTTGTTTTCCACCCCTGGCAATAATTATAAGATTAGACCCAATTATTCAGTTTAGTATTTTATTCCTAGAATAAAACAAATGAGAAATAGCCACGCTTCTTTCTCCAAGGCCCATCATCAATCTAGTCTCGGGTTCTTAGTCACATTAGCAGTGTCAAGTATTTGTTCTGGCCTTACAGAATGGGCCTTAAATCCAATTAGAAAGTGGTTAGTTAGTCCAGTACCATCTGAATACTATTATTCTGCCAAAGGAAAATAGCAACAAAATGACTCCTAATGACATACTGCTATACCCGTAGGTCAGTAGGTCACTCGGCCCTCATTAGAGAAGTTTCTTCTCGCAGTGGATGACCCACAACTGGACGATGTGAAGAAAGTGATAGTTTGGAACACAACATCTTAAACTGGATGTCTTCATCAAAGCTCTCCTTTCAAGGTTTGGGGATCTATGTGTAAGATAAAGCATAGAGATTGCAATAGCCAGAAGGGGCAGATGGCTCCAAGGCTACAGGGTCTTACAGACACAACAGGACCAATGCACGTGTGAGCTTACAAATATTGTGGCAGTAACATGAGGGGTCCAAGTGCAGAGTAAGTAAACACAGGCTGTCACTCTAAGAAGCTATCTGCAATTGATACCGAATGCCAAAGGCAAAATCAGTTTACTTCAATGAAGTCTCACTGGGTATATAAACTACTCTTCAGGTTAAGCCTCATGCTCAGGAGTAGCTTACCAATACAAAATGGCCTAAATTGTATTATACACTTTTTATCTTATGTTGCTTTGTTTGGTCATTTCTTGTCTCATTTTTGCTTGTTTATTTTGATTTTGGTTTTGTGTTTCTGTTGTGAGGTTTGTGCACCTGGTTTTGTTGTTCTATTTTTGTTTTTGTCTCTGTTTGTTGAGGGAGAGAGAGAAAACATAAAGTTGGGTAGGTTGGTGGAAAGGATGTGCGAGAAAATGGGGGATGGGAAAATATGATAAAAATATATTATATGAATTATTTTCAATAAAAGCTTTAAAAAGATGAGCAAGTGTCTTGTGAATATTATAACTTTCTGAGCTTTTAGATTATTTTCATTACTTTTCTGAGCTCTATGCTTCTTCCTCTATCACCCAAGAGAGAAAATTTCAACTCATAAGAGATGCCTATAGCCAGGCACGGTGGCACATCCCTCTAATCCCAGCACTCAGGGAGGCAGAAGCAGGCGGATCTCTCTGATTTCAAGGCTGGGCTGGTCTACAAAGTGAGTCCAGGACAGTAAATCAAGGCTACACAGAGAAACCTCATCTAGAAAAACCAGAGAGAGAGAGAAAGAGAGATTTCTATTATAACAGTCAATGAAAATATTAATTCCTGAACTGTAAAAATTTCTAGCTGATGCTTTGATGCACAGAAACATGTGACATC